GGGCGGCGGCGTTGTTGCTGCACATACGTGCGATCCATGTACATCAAAATGTCGTGAATCATGACCATGGTGATCTGGTAGTGTTTGTTTGTTGCGGTAAGCGAAAAAGAACGTGAGAACGAAAAATGGATGCAGTTGCGGAAAAAGAACAAGAGCCATGAGAAACAAAAGAAAAGGTCAGAAGATATGATCACGTCTGATGCCTTCCCTCAATCAAAACGGAATGATTGTGCTGTCGTTGTCTTTTTGTGAGTTTCCTTTTGCTTACCTGATGCTCCGACCAAGTGGACGCCATTTCATCCAGTAGCTTGGTTTCTTCAATATCGGCCAAGCGGTTGACAGTATTCAAAAGATGCGAGCTGAGCTTTTCCGTGACACCATCGTAGAGCAGAGTCCCATGTTTGTGAAGAACCAAATTGTAAGCATTTCGATACAACTCTTCAAACGACAACTGAGACGCATTCCGGTTGTAGATTTCGTCAATCGCATTGGCCAATATCTCCCAAATCTGCTGCGCCGCGTTGCGATCCATCGGAACGTGTGTTCGAAAGGGCTATCGAGTAGTGTTGGTTGTTGTTGTTATTGTTGTTGTTATTGATATAGTATTGCGACAAAGTGTGAATGATGGAATGAAAACAAAGCAAAAAGAGATGAACAACGAAACATGAGATGCAAACAGAGTGTCTTCGGTCCGTACGATGGGACAACGGCAAAAAGCGTGGATTGGATCCTTCGTCACGTAGAAACTGTACCAGGCCCACGCAAACGAAAGAAAGCTGATTGGTAAACACTCACTTTGATGTTGAATCTTTTCTTGGAGTCCGACATGGTGAAGTTTGCTCCGATGAAGTCTATAAAAGATAAAAGATAGATACTTGGGTGTTACTGCAGTAAGGCAACAGCTTGACAGATCGATGAAACAACAATATGAAGGTCAACCAGAGACGGAGCGGTGTGTCTTGAGAGCTGATCGAGACAGGTTTGATGCGAGAGTTGGTTACGCTTTCATGATTTCTTGTTCTTTATCCCTTTAGAAATTAGGGTTCACTTTTCCGAATCCAGAGCGCGCAAGTCGACACCACCATCTGCACAATGTCATCATGTCATTGGCTCCGATGCCTCTCCCGTGGTTTATGGTTGTGTCGACTGTCGACTGCACCGAGATGAGAGTGCAATCATCATGGCCCGCTAGCTAGCTAGTATCCACTACCTGGTAGTTGATATCCAAAGAGATGGCTTCCAGGCACACCAACTAGCCAGCCAGTAATGAGACTGTAAACTCAAACCAAGAGAAGACATGGTACCGGCACCGGCACCGGCACCGATAGCCGTCACAACGATGTCGTCAATGGCGATGGCTAGCCTGAGAGCCAACGTAGGCGGTGAACTTGCTCCGCACAACAGAAGCACCTAGGCCCAGTAAAAATTGTATATAGATACATTGTCCTTACAAAAATATCGGTACTTCTAAAACATGGATATCCTACAAGTAGCGTACTGCTTTCTTTCTTCCACCTCTAACCACCACAACTTTCATCATGACATCTCCATATCCTTCACATCACTATTGCCATCTGTGGAGTGATCACTAGTTGACGACGGCTCCAGCAAAGAGCTTGGAAGGAAGGAGGCTTCTCTTCCACATCCACAATTTTGTTGGATTTCCTGTTCTTCCGCTGTCATGCGGCTCAGAGCCGCCTGAGCTCGCATTTCTCGGTCAGATATACCATTCGTCGTTTCACCCCCTCCTCCAAGCCGATACGTCCCTCCCGAAAAGGCATTGTCCGCATCACCACCCTCTGCCGCCGAAAGTCCCTCCCCTTGCGTCCAATCCATTTCGGTGCATTCCGTTTCAATTTGTCGCATCAATTGAAAGAACTTGCCATCGTGTTCCGAGTGCACATTGTGTGCGAGTTCATGATACAATACTTTGCGGATCGACAGGATTTTGCGAAACCCGGTCAAGTCATCGGTGCGAATCCGCAACAAAATTTGCTGTCCCTTGTTTTTGTTGAGTCCCATGACACACACGGCGGATTGACCGACATTGCCCTTGGGGTAAAGTTCCGCCAAGGCTCCAACTTGCCAATTGTGTTTTTTCATGCACGCCAGGACACCTGGATCATTGGCCAATTGCGACAGGATTTTGTGTGCCTGGTCACGATGCGGAAGATTGGGCAGTGTTTCAATACGGCCAAATCCATAGGCAGTGCTGGTTGCTGTCTTGCGGGATGCGGCTGCCATTATCATTTGTCGTCCCAATAGCTTGCGTCTCTCGGCATCTCGCTGTCCACGGGGCGTCAAATCGTCTCGGATCCGGGGAGCCCGTTCTTTGGCGTCTTCGTGTTCTTCCTGTATGGCGTGTACTTCATTGCTGGACCGCCCCATGGCCATAATCTTGTAACTCTTCTTGCCTGCTGGTTTCAATAGTTTCACCAGATCTTGGTGGTCATGTTCCAAATTCTTGCCTTTGAACAACAATTTGATGTCCGCTGGTTGGAGTTCCGAATCATTGTTGTTGGCGGCATTGGCAATGAGACTCTGTTTGATGGTCCCTCCTGTAAGGCCTTCTACAAGATCAAATTCTGCCTTCTGCCCTCGAAACGATACCACTACTTTCGACATGGTTGTATGTATGTATGTATGTATGTATGTTGGTTGGTGCTTCTAAATAGTTGTCTTCTTGTGGTTTGTGAGATGCGAAGCACTGCAGAGTCTTTGCCGTGTGAGTGTGTTCGTTGAAAGTCCAAGCAAGGTTCTTCTTTGTTGTTCGACGTGGTTCTGCCACTCGGGGTGAAGGACTGACGAAGAGTGCACGACTGATGCAGAAGCCCAACTCGGACCCTCGTCAAAGCTTCAACCGAAAAACAGAAAAACAGGAACAGCGAGCTCCCACCTCAACCAGAAGATCGAAGGACAAAGGCAACCCAAAGCAAGAAAGGCATATTGGTCTATCACAACTAGCTAGAGAGAGACAGCAAAATATGGAAGGAGAAGAATCCCTTCAGGACTGGAAGAAGAGGAGGGAAGCCCGTCGTCGTCAGCGCAAAGCGGCTCCTTCCGAAGAAGAATTGTTGTTGACTTCGGTCGAAGACGACAACAACGATGACGATGATGCCAAGGTCGAGCCAGAGGTGATCGTCCCATTGTCGAAGCGAAGGCGTCTGGAACAAGAAAAACTATTGAAGGATTCCATGAATTCCGGTGGAAACCGACGAAAGCAAAAGGTGATTGATTCTTTGGGGGGACAGAACAACAACAACAACGACAACAACACCAAAAAGTCCTCCAACTCTGTTCGATTTGCCGAAGAGACCGAGGAAAAGAATTCAAAGGGCGAGGGTGGCGACAAGAAAGACTCGGACGATGCCCCTTCGGATACTCATGTCGAATCTCTCTTGGAACGGGCTACAGCCTTGCAACAAACTCTCACCGATGCGGAGCGGCAAGAAGCCAAACGCAAAGAGGAAGAAGAACGAATTCTACGAGAATCTTCCAAAGTCCAAACCAACGCCTTGCAGGCGGCGTCCGAATTGGCCAAGGGAGTCATTTACAAAGATCCCATGCCATCGTCTTGGACGGCTCCTCGCTATATTCTAGAACAAGGCGAAGCTGCCTGGCAAAAAACGCGCAAAGAATGGCACATGGAAACAGAAGGCAACAATATTCCACCACCCATGAAACGATTCACCGACATGAAACTACCAGCCCCCATCATCAAGGCACTCGCCAAGAAGAATATCAAACGCCCCACTCCCATTCAAATGCAGGGATTGCCCGTCGCATTGGCGTCACGAGACATGGTCGGTATTGCCTTTACCGGATCCGGAAAAACCATGACCTTTTCCTTGCCCATGGTCATGGCAGCGCTCGAAGAAGAATTTCGAATGCCACTGTTGCCGGGAGAAGGTCCCGTGAGTGTCGTCATGGCACCGAGTCGAGAATTGGCACGCCAAACCTACGACGTGGTACAAGAGTTTTGTACCACAATTTCGGAAACGCCAGAATATCCAGAACTACGGGCACAACTGTTTATTGGAGGAGAGTCGGTCCGGGATCAGTTGCAAATGGTGCAACAAAAGGGAGTCCATTGCATCGTGGCAACTCCGGGACGATTGCGGGACATTCTCAAACGAAAGGCAATGACTCTGAATATTTGTCGATTCATTTGTTTGGATGAAGCCGATCGGATGTTGGATTTGGGATTCGATGAAGAAGTGGGAGAAATCATGAACTACTTTCAGCATCAGCGGCAGACGCTGCTATTTAGTGCCACATTTCCACAAAAGTTCCAACAATTTGCCAAACAGACGCTGGTGCAGCCGATTGTTGTCAATGTGGGGCGGGCCGGAGCAGCCAACTTGGATGTCATTCAGGAAGTGGAATATGTCAAACAAGAGGCCAAGATTGTGTATCTATTGCACTGTCTGCAAAAGACGTCACCCCCGGTAGTTATCTTTTGTGAGCGCAAGGGAGACGTGGATGATATTCACGAGTACCTGCTGCCTCAAGGGAGTGGAAGCAGTGAGTATCCATGGAGGAAAGGATCAGGAAGAACGTAACGAGGCCATTGCTCTGTACAAGGATGGCAAGAAGGATGTTTTGGGTACGTTGTGTTGTTGGTGATGTCGGTCCTTTGTCGTAGTTGGTTGAAACGATTTTTTACTGACTTTTGTTCCTTTCTTCTATTTATATACAGTCGCCACGGATATTGCAGCCAAAGGTCTTGATTTCAGTGATATTCAACATGTCATCAACTTTGACATGCCGACTGAAATTGAAAATTACGTTCACAGGATTGGTCGTACCGGTCGATGTGGCAAAACAGGAGTTGCGACCACATTCATCAACAAGAGCTCGGACGAAACAACTTTGCTCGATCTGAAACATTTGCTTAAAGAAGCCAGACAACGAATCCCGCCCGTCTTGATGATGCTCGACGATCCAAGGGAACAAAATGGAGGCGAAGGAGGCGGATGTTCATTCTGTGGTGGATTGGGTCACACCATCGTGGACTGTCCCAAGATTGACAAGGACGCAAAACGTGTTGCCAGCGGGCACAAGGATGCATTGGCCACGGGAGGAGGATACGGTGGAGACTGGTAGTGTACTCCTGGGTTCAGTAGATGTATGGTCATTGCGTGAACACTTCTTTTTGGTTTGCTTTCACCAACCCTCTCAGAAAGCATTATTCTTTGACAGAGAATCATTATTTAAATCATCTTTCCTGTTTCGCCCTCAACTAGCTACTAGTAGTCTAATGAATAAAACCGGGTTAAAAGCTTGGCTGTTCCTCTGTGGACACCAACCAACCTTCTCCTATTCCCCCTTTATTTCTGGTCGTCACAGGCACTTCTCTTTGCGCTGTTTCAATGTTGCAAAAACAGCAGCAAAAACAGATGTGGACCGTCTTTGTTCTTCACAGCTCGTGCTGGCTCAGTCTGGTGCCCCCCAAAAGGTTTGTTCCACGTGGAGCAGTGCTCAAATTCGTATTCTCGCACGGAACCAGAAGGTTCGCGGGGATCTCACAAGGATCGGATCGCTTTCTTAGACTTGTCCCCTTCCAACAACCACAACAAAGACGAAAAGATCTCCTCCATTCATTGTTGCACTTGATGCCGCCTACTCCGAGGAGGGTTCTCGGCAAGTCCCGGAATATTCGAGAGCCAATTTTGTCAGGAGAGCTGAACAGGATAGCAATGACCACGCACAGGAACCAACGATTTCAGTAGAACATCCGCAGTCTGTTTGTTGCTTGCCCACAAAGATGCCTGTAAATGGGAGGGCTACCGCACCTCGAGCTCACCACGGACCAAGAAAAGGGAAACAAAATCATGAGGCGACAATGCATTTCCTCCTGCCTCTGTTTGCTTGTTACGGAGTGAGGAATCAATGCTCCAGCAATCCAGCCAGACAACCAAAACGCATTCATCCTTGGTAGTCCTATAAAGGATACCGGTAGAGCAGTCTTGGATAGCCAACCCAGAGGATTGCTTTCTTCTCAACAAAACATCGGAGTCTTCTCTTCACAACCTATGTCTCTAGCCAGTCTTTGAATTAGAGACAGTACCGGTACCAGCATGACCGGGGCCAAGGTTCCATTGATGCACCACTTTAGGTCGCGAAACTACATGCTCAATCGTCCAATTATTTCAGAGGTGGGTGCAAGTTGCAGTTTCCCCGACCAATCAGGCAGTTTGCAAAGGATTGAGAACCCTCCGTACCAGGCCAGACGTTCTCAGTATCCATTCCACACAAAAGATACTCTCAGTACCACCGGCTAGAAACGCTGCATGTATATTTACTACGGCGCGATTGGTGCGCATGGATGGCTGTATCTTTGTTGGATCAAAATTTCAGGAACAAATCAAAATCCGATCTTTGCGTGGTGTAAGATAACGTTGCACTTGGATTTTGTTCCATTGGCCATCCATAAAAATTCAAGATCGTCTCTTGTTCTATAATCAGTCATAGAACATAGTCTTCTTTCCCTTTTAACCCAAACCAAACCTTTACCATGCTCGCATCTGCCGCTGCCGTCCGAAAAATCGCCCAAAGGGAAATGTCCCGCAACACTCTTGGAGGTGTCCGTGCTATGGCTTCCCTTGAGCAGTATTCCGAATTTGGAAAGTCTCTTTTCACTGGTGCGGTTGCTGATGAATACCTCAAGAAACACGGTGCCAGTGGTGATATCTTGAATGATCCTTCCTGGGTCAAGAATCATTCCGACACTGTTGCCAACGCTGTCTTTGACTGGTACGTTCTTCGAGTGATTAATATTTTTTACAGAGGTGTTCTTTTTGCTGTTTTTGGCCCCTTCCAAGGCGAAGAAAATTGTTTTGGGTATCATTTGTTGAGGTTATCTGGCCCTTCTTTTAATTAACTAACATGTCCTTGTTTTAATTTTCTTCTTTGTTCCTTCAGGGCCATTGATAACGGCGCCAACGTCTACTGCCATTGGTTCCAGCCCATGGCTTCCAGTGGTGTTCGTCACGGACAAAGTGGTCAAGTGCAAAATATTATGTTGAAATTCGATTCCAACAACGAAATTGTTCAAGACTTCAAGGGAAAGACTCTTATCAAGGGAGAAACTGATGGATCATCCTACCCCAATGGAGGTCTTCGTGGAACCCACGAGGCTGGAGGTTACCTCGCTGTTGATACCTCTTCCCCTATTTTCCTTCGTGGGGATACTATTTTCATCCCTTCTGCATTTGTTTCTTACTATGGAGCTGCTTTGGATGAGAAGACTCCCTTGCTTCGTGCCAATGCTGCCCTTGACAAGGAGGCCAGCCGCCTTTTTGGAAAATTGGGATTGGATGTTTCCAGCGGTGTCCAGACCAATATTGGTTTGGAACAAGAAATTTTCCTCATTCCCCGTGAGGAATACTACAAGCGCCCTGACCTTCAGTTGACTGGACGTACTTTGATTGGAAAGAATGCCCCTCGTGGACAAGAAATGTGCGATCACTACATGGGACCCTTGTCATCTGCCACTGCTGCCTTGGGATGCATGCAAGAAATTCAAGACGAGTGCTACCGCCTGGGAATTCCTCTCAAGACTCGTCACCGTGAGGTCGCCCCCAACCAGTTCGAATTTGCTCCCTTGTTCGGAACCAACACCACTCAGATTGACCAAAATCTCATGGTGATGCAAATTATCGAGGAGGTTGCCGCCAAGCACGGACTTGCTGCCCTTCTCCAGGAGAAGCCATTCAATGACGTCAATGGATCCGGAAAGCACAATAACTGGTCCATTGCCACCCGTGATGGTGTAAATGTTCTTGACCCTGAGGAATTCAACGCGGCCTCTGGAAACGACTCTGCCTTCCCGATTGTCATGGCTGCTATTGTTGCAGCCATTGATGAACACGGTGATCTCATGCGTTGTGCCATTGCCTCCCCCGGAAATGACTTCCGTTTGGGTGCATGTGAGGCCCCTCCCGCCATTGTCTCCACCTACCTTGGAGATGATATGACCAAGTACATGGAGGCCTTCATGAACGGAAAATCAGCCAGCTACAACCCAGGAAAGAAGACCTTGGATCTTGGATGCCGTGAGATCTTGCCATTTGAGGTCCCTGCTGAGGATCGTAACCGTACTTCTCCTTTCCCATACGGAGGTGCTCGTTTCGAGTTCCGTGCTGTTGGATCCGCCCAGAATGTGTCCTTGGTGAACACTGTTCTCAACACTATTGCCGCCGAGAAATTCGGAGAATTCGCCGACCGCATCGAAGCCGGAGAAGATGCTGAGACCGTTGCCCGTGATGCTCTCAAGAAGCACTGGAAGGTCATTTTCAACGGAGACAACTACGATGAAGCCAACCAACAAATGCTCACCGATAGTGGCGTCTGGCGTATTGACTCTGGTGTCGAGGCCATTGCTCGATTGACTGCCGACAAGAACGTCGCCCTCTTCGAGAAGATGGGAGTCCTTACCAAGGACGAGTGCGCTGCCCGCCAAGACGTCCTCCACGACCACTACGCCGGAACTGTCGAGATGGAGGCATTGACCCTCGTTGACATGATCAACCAACACATCATCCCTGCTTGCAAGAAGTCTGGTGTCGGTCCAGTTGCCGACCTTGAGGCATGCGTCCCCAAGCTGAAGGCTGGTGTTGCTGCGATCCACGCCGCTGAGACTTCCAATGAGAAGGCCAGCCTTGCCCGTGTCCTCCGTTTGGAGACCATGATTGACATTCGTGAAACCTGCGATGCCGCCGAGGAAGTTGTCCCTGCCGAAAACTGGACTCTTGCCACATACAAGGAATTGCTTTTCCTTGACTCTCACACTGTTGCTGGAAGCCAAGTTGACTACTTCGACGAGTAAATACAGAGCGAAGACAGAGTCAATATTTTGTGATCAATTTTAGAATTCAGTGGCTGAGGAGGGACTACAGTATCGGTTTTGCATAAACAAAAAGAAGAGAGACGATCGGATGTGCGGAGTGACAAAAAGGCGAGATTTTGATTGATTTTGGTTTTGATTTTAAAGGAGTAGCCAATAAGCATGTTAACTCGATTTCTTGCTACCGGTACACTGGCTGTCTGTGCTATAAATTTCATCGTTTGTTATGGCATCCACCGTATTCTTCTCTTTATCATGGCTGTCTGTGTTATAAATTTCATCGTTGTTGTGGCATCCACCGTATTCTTCTCTTTATCATGGTCTTTATCGAAATTGGTTTGTTGTTGTGCCTTCACGGTTGCAGTTGTTGTTGCGAAGGCTTCTGGCGTCTTGCTTCTTGGGTTCTCATGTCTTGCCAATCCCACGGCTCAGTTTCCACAGCGTGGGGTGTGGAAGCCAGAAGCTGGGAGTGGTTGTGGGGTGTGGACCCTGGTGGCTGACAGCGGAGTTGCCAAAGCTAGTTTGGATGATCCATCCCTACCGGTATAACAAAGACGTTGAGGAGAATCTGGAGCCAACAATTCACTGGCTGATGGATCGGCTTGGATGTGGAACCGCCAAAAGTTAAGATGTTTTTAGTCCCCGAAGGTTGGCTAAGTACTCGCTGCCGGTACGGGTATGCTCAAACGGATCAACCCATCACAGCTAGCTACTAGTAGCTAGAATGATTGCTGCCAAGGGGAGCCAAATCAAACATCAACTCTTCAGGATGCCAGGCAACCCTTCCTTACAGAGGGTGAACGGAAAAGTTCAGTTCTTCTCTGTGGGGAGGAAAGCAGTAGTAAGAACTCTTTTGGGATCTGGAGCACCTATCGAAAGAAGATTTGGTTCGACTGTGGTGCGTGGAACTTCAAAGATAGCTAGTTTGGAAGGTTCCATCCCTTAAAGAACGTTGAGGAGCCCAGCCAACAACAATGTCTTGGCAATGCCGGGCGGCAGTGGTGGAGGAAGCACAACCGGTGGTGGCGGCGTCGGTACGGACTGGCCCTCCGGTGAAGATTCATTTGACATTTCCAAGACTCAATTTTGACGGTTATTTTCGGTTTCGGAAAAAGGAAGCCAAAAATGGTCATTTCACAAAGCCAGACTGAAAATGACTGGTTGTAACAAAGTAAAGATTGAAGAAATAAAACTGAATTTTATCACCATGGCCATAGAGTTGACCAAATGGCCATTAGCTTTACCATACATGAGATAGCTAATGCTTTCAGAGGAGTAGCTCCCAACACACTCACAGACACTCCCCTTGAAAAGCATTAGCTATCTCCAAGGTTTCCTATGGAGCCTCTACCAAAAAGCAGGCTTGAATTCCATTTTGTTGTCATTCTGCATGCATTTCTCCATGGGAAAGGTGCTCCTGTCCTCACCCTCAGCACTCAATCTACACAGTAGAGCCTAGTAGAGGACTGGGAGGCTTTGCATGAAGACTGGACCCATCCCAAGGTTCAAAGGAGAATTGTTGGCTTGATGTCCACAAAAAATGAGCAGATTTCTTGTTTGTTGTCAGTCAACCAGTCAATACAGAAGTAGAGTAGATGCCGCTTGTTCCTTTTGCAGTAGCACTAGAGCAGGAGCAGTCGTCGTCGCCGAAAGAAAGGTCGGTCGATAGATCGTCATCGCCGGAAGAACACCGTATTGGAATTGATCCGTCGAACGGAAGATGCTTGTTGCCATCGCTTGTTGTTCTAGTAGTAGTAGTACCGAAGTCGCTTGTTGTTGCATTAACGGTAGAGGAGTCGTCGCTCCGTGGAAGAGGAGGCGTCATGGTGGTGGCTTCTCCATGGAAGAAGAAAGAATGGAAGAAGAAAGAAGTCATCGGAAGTGGATCGATCCATCGAACGAGCGATCGTCGAACGGCTGCCGCTGCCGCTAGCCAAACAAAAGGAGCCTGTCATGGTGGAGTAGTAGCCTTTGTTGAGAGGAGTAGCCACTGTAGAAGAGATGGCATCATCTTGATAGAGTCGAGTCAATAGAGTGCACCAGTATACATACTTCGTAAAAGTTAGATGCAAAAGAGGAGCACACCAGTGGCTGGTTTCCATTGAATAAAGCTTCTAAATCTTTTCGAGATACTTTAACGCTTTTAGTCCTGATGTCATAGTTCGCATTGGAATGTCCTAGCGGGACGTGCTTGCGTTTGCGTCAATAGAACCGATACAGCCTGTACCAGTGATTAGGGCCTAAAGAAATAAAGTTGTGGGTGCATGTACATGTATCGGTAGGACGGAGCCTCGAACGAAATGATCCTGCTCGCCAGGAAGCTAGAGAAAAGGCTCATCAAGCTAGTCGAAGAAGTTCTTTTCGATTTCAGCTAGAAGTTACATTGCAATGCTTGGCATGCCTGCCTAAACGACAAAATTGAATTCCCCTCATAACTGCTCTTGTGCCGCCTTCTCTTTGACCCTCTCGTGCATTTGCTTACACAACTCCTTCCCCCGGTGCATCCATTCTTCTCTGTTTGCCACTGCATATTGGTGGTACTCGTCACCAGACGCCCCGAAGACACCACACTCCTTGAGTTTGCGAGTTAGAGGGATGACATAATTGTCGAAAAACCATAGCTCGCCTTGATACCAGCTGTCTGAGGGATCTTTGTCTTGCCTTCCCGCCAGATAGGCCGTGTACATTTCTTCAAAGAGACGCTCATTCCATTTCTTGTAGATATGCCAGTGTTGCATCGTGTGCGATACGTCCGAAGCTTGAATGACATACTCGATCACGATTGTAGCCTTCTGGTTGAGATCTTCAGAAGTCATTAGCATCGGTCCGCTGGAGTCCTTGTCGAATGACTTCGCCCAGCGTGCTTTCCGCAATGCAGTGAGCTCCTTGTCGAAGATATCGGTGGAGAGCACGCAGTTGACGAGGAGCTGGCGGAATCGTTGGCCCTCGGATTTCTGCTTTCCAAATATGCAATCTCTCAAGTTGCTAAAGCGAGGAAGGATGAGTAGTTCCCAGGCAGTTTCGATTGATCTTTGTTCAGCTATGCATTTTTCGTAGCGATCTGCCAATTCCGGACTTTCCACGGCAAGTCTGCCATTTGGAACCCCAGTGTGGCCTGAACGAAACGATAGCCAGAAAGTTAGTTTGAAGCATAATTGCGACTTGCAAAGTTAGTCGTGTGCTGAACTCACCAACATCGTGGACCAGTGCTGCGAACACCACAGCGAACTTTGCCAAGGGGTCTGAAACGATGCCAAAAGTGTACTCGTGTAACTCCTCCATTGTGATCCCATCTCCAGCATCAGCACAGTCAATGCGCTTGAGAAGTTTGGTAGCAGACAGAGCAACGTGGGAAGCGTGTTCGAAAGAATGAAAGGGGTTTCGTCTGTATCCAGAAGCGATTATCCCCACGTATTCCCGTAGCTCGGATCGGACGACCGCAGGCAAATTGATCTTTCCAGGCTCTTCTTTCTCGGCATATTCTGGCATCTCGATTACTTGAGTCATCTCCTTCAGAGGAATGTCCGTTCCAAGTTCCTCGATCTTGTTGGTTTGCTCAACAGCCTCTTCCTCTCCTCGATTGGCAACAACAGTTGCGAGGAAACTCATCAAAACATCTGTGTTCCACTCCACAAGGCGCACTTCGGTACTATTAATCGCTGTCTGGTGAAGCACAGGTCCCAAGACCGAGTTTTCAGACATCGAATCCCTGCGTCTCGGAGTGTAAGGTAGATCATGGCGCAAAGACATGTCCATGTCGTTGCGCAACGACATATCGTGAAGTTGTGACATGTCGTTGCGAGACGTGTCGGGGAGGGACGATGTGTCTCCTGAAGAGTCAGTATTGGAGCCATTACCCAATTTCAGCCAGAAAGTACTCAGTTTCCCCTTGCCTTTAGCGGTAACTTTGTCTGCTCGGGGAAGGACCCAGTGAGCCTTCCCGTGCGAATCTAGGTACTTGAAAACTTCTTCGGACATGTGAACCTTGTTTTTCTGGCCAGTAGATTCGATGCGGCTGGTGATGGAAAATTGAACAGCAAAGTTAGTTTCTGAACATAAAAACACAAACGCCCTAAGTCAGTCAAGTGAGGGGCCTACCTGGCAGTGTTCATTGCATCTCCAAACAACTGTTTTTGCCGTAACAATCACGAAGTGAGCCACCAGAAATGTTGGGACGAAATCGGCAACAAGACACGCGCGAAGAACGAACCTGGAAACGCGACTTTTCTCCACGAAGAATTCCTGCCGTCACGGACCCGCTATGCATGCCCGTTCTCATGCCGAGTTCCGCCGTGCCTGGTCCTAGAGAAGACTCCATATCCTCAAGCAACTGTCGAGATCGGAGCATGCAAGCTCTAGCAAAGCGACACATGGTCTCCGCATGGTCTTTCCTGGCGTTTGGGAGTCCTGACAAGAAAGAAGTGGAGCAAACAAGAGATCAGTCTACAAGTCAAGTCAATGTTATGTTACATCAAGAAGGAGTTGAATGAGATCGTCTTACCTGTGGCGGCCACGTAGCAGTCACCTGGGATCGCGGGCAAACAGGCAAGAGAGGGCAGGTGAGACCTTGCTCTCAAACAGATGGCAGTAGCTAATCAATCAGGTTGCTCTCTTGACTCACCAATCTAAAGTACGTTAGAAGACGAGATAAACGCAGGGAAGCGTAGGCGACTTGTTGAGATGAACGCAGGAGGAGAATCTCCAAAGAACAGTTTGAAGATACTTACCGTTTCAACTTTGAAGACACCCAGGCGCTTGGCACATTTGTCAAAAGCACCGTACAAAGTCTCTAGCAGTGTAAACACCTGCACATAGGATGGAAAGTGAGTGGGCTCGATCCATAATAAACAAAGTTGGATACCCGCGGCTCGAGCATATCTTACCTGCGCAGGCTCTCGCTCGCTAGACCATGCCGTGAACCCTGTGGTGTAGTTAACAAAATGGACCAAGGCCGAGCAACATAAGGATCAGCTACCAAGCACAAGTAGGATCAACTGAATCAACAACACCGATCAGCTTACCTGCAATATCAGAGAATAAAATCGTAACTGGAATGGAAGGAAGGAAGGAAGCAAGCAAGCACGCAATCATGGTGAGTCCTGCTGCAACCTGCTGCAACCAAATGCGTTTTGTGTGATGTCCGTAACGTGCATACTTCGGGATACAAATCCGCCAATGGTTCATCCAATCCCATGTCATCGCCTCCGGAACTGTCACCACTGGTGGAAGTCACTCCGCCATTCTTTTGCAACAAGTTTTTGAGTCGCGATTTGGGCGATTGATGTACTTTGGAGCCGTCGCCACTGTGGGCCGACCAGTGATCCTTTGGTTCCCCCGTCGAAGACCGATTGGTTTTGGTGTTGGCACTTTGTCGCAGCAATCGTTCTCGTACATTTTGCGGAAAGAGCGCTCGTACAATGGCATGAGTCTTTTCGGCGGATTCCACCATGCGTTGTTGGTATCGATCGACGATGCAATCGTAGACCAAAAAGACCATGATTGTAAAGATAAAGATGAATGCGACGAACATTTTGGCATACAAGGGCGTGTGGGTCAAGAAGGAACTTCGGTAGGGTTCGGTGGGGTAGATTCGAATACGAAAGTCACACAAGGCAGTTCCGTTGGTATGATTGGTGGATCCAACCAAACCAGTAGTTTCGTTGACGAATCGTAGACCATCATCATCGAGTTGGGAAGCAGTGGAAAAGGGAGGGTGATGCAGTAACCGCTTGGCAAACTCGTCGTACTCCGAGGCCACAATCTCATCGACTTCTACCTTGGGATCGTAGAGGGCTCCTTCTCCTAGGTAGTCCACAGTGGAAGACGTCACTTCAAAGGAATAGGCATGGGCTGCCGATGCCTCGCAGTTGGTGTCCAAGACCACCACCACCGAGTGTTGGACGTCCTCATCCTCGAGTACTTTGGTTCCGAGAAGCGTTTCCCAGCGAAACTCCAGCGCCAGGGCTCCGACAATGTCGGCGTCTGTGAGGGAGCGCCACAGAGGATAGTAGAGGTTGCTGCGGGGAGTGGCATAATAGGCATGATCGGTTTGGTTGGAGCTGTGCAAGAGGACGTTGGAACAGGATCCGCCATGCGGTACTGTCATCATACCGAGGAGCGCCTGTTCGCGGACTGGATTGGAAGATTGATGAAACATGAGTTCGGTGGCGTTGGGAGAGAGGGGAGTGGTTTGCCACGTTGGAAAGTAGATTGTGCCATTGGGTTCATCTCTCGCCTTGCCGTAGCGCATGCGGTACATGCCATCTTGAATGGATCGATTGTGATGGACATGAAACTTGGTGATGGGGAGCTCATTATCATCATCTACCGGCGACAGTGCTGGATCGGGTTGTCCTTCGTGTTGCGTGGCGAGATAGGCAAACGTTGGGGCGTAGTAGTGCTCCCAGTTGTCTCGTTGACTGTGGTGGACCAAGGGAAGAAAGGAGACGGCGGCTATTTGTCCGGTTTGCCGTGGTACGAGACACTGTTCGGCAAAGTCTGGGAAACTGACATAGGGCCAGCGGACGTTGGTGGAGTGTGCGTAGGAAGTAAAGGAGGTGGAGAGAGTCTGTGCCGCGGCCACTTTGCGTTCGAGTTCGGCGTAGAAATGATCGACCAACTTGAGCGAGAGATCCTCGAGACTTTCATCGTAGTGGTTTTCTTCTTGGATAAAGGCATAGACAAAGACCGAGTTGGCGGACACCATGGCGATGGTCAGCATGAGAAGGACCACGAAGGATCGGATAATGTTGATCATCTTGATATCCTTGCGCTGAGGCACCCTTGTGCCAGTCGAATCCGACTGGTCCCCTTCGTCGCTCCAAGCCTCGCTGGTGTTCGAGTAGTCATCTTCACTCTCGGCCATGGACACGAAAGGGTCGTCTTCACTCAAGCGAGAGATCATCATGCTGTCGGTGGCCGTTGTGGTCTTGGTCTCGTCCGTGCCCCTCCTGGGGCTTTCTTCCATGGTGTGGCTGTCGCTGGTGCTCATGGTACTGTAATATCGTATCAATGGGGAGTGGCAGGAAGGAAGATGACTATAGATAGTAGATCAATGGATAGATGGAAGGATGAAGAGTCCTTGATTGGATCAATGGCTACTAGTATCTCCTACACCTACCTTGGCAATAGAAACGTCTACTCACGAGAAATGGAGTTCACTGGAAACGTTTACTCGTAGTGGGAAAGTGAATGCTTCTATCGAAGTTCCTTGAGCGTCCGTGTCGCGCTGTGTGTCTGCTGCTGGAGATAGTCAATACTGTTGAGCTGCCGCCGGTACCAGAGTTTGGCACAGAGCCGAAATCTAGTAGCAATAACACTCAAGATTGCTGTTTCCAAGCTGTGAAAGTAGTGTGTCTTCTACCAAGATATTGCGTCTTGTTCTCGGTCAAACTAAAAAAGTGGATGGTGAGGGTGCGGCAGCAGCGGGAAGTTGGATTTCTCATTGCAAAGAGTTTCTGGAGAGAAGACTAACTTGTTTACTTTCCTTTTAATTAATGACGTGGCCTGTGGAAGCTGTGATAAATAATTACTTGATTAAGCAAATAGGTGTTGTCACGTAAGAAGAATGACTTGAGGAAATTGCCTTCATTATCTTTGTAATTCATTGAAGCTGTTACAAAACGTGAGCTGGCTTAAGACTGGCACGAGACCACACGCTGGCTTTCTTGTCGAACGGAAGTAAAAGGCAAAAGTGCTCCCACAAAATGCGAAGACGAGGGGAAGTTTCCTACACCGTGGACACAGCACAGGTGAACTGAGGAGTTTTGGCCGAGCTGCCGTTGGATTGGTAGAACTTGTGCGTTGCAGAACATGGCTTTATAACGCTCGAGAAAGTCTTTTTAAATCTAAAGCCCCTTTGTTTTACTAGATACCGGTATGGAGCACTCCGAGTAGAGCTTTAATGAGCTGCTTAACTTAAATTGTCTGTGCTTTATCGCTTTCTTTGTTGGTACCTGTAGCACAGCGAGCTTTTGGCTCTTGAGAAACCAGAAGGTCTACATTTTGCTGCGTCATTGGCGAAATAAAAATGGCCACCAGCTGTAGAGTTGTTGATAAGATGACGTGAGAACATTGGGGACTTGAAGAGCCACGGAGGTGCGGTACAGCGTGTCAGCGTGTAGCCTAGCTACCAGTACCACCAGTAGCCAAGTCTTTTAAAAGCAGAAAAGGGTTAGTAGTTTGGTTTCCAATTATTTGTCGTTGTTGGTCACACCGGTCTCTTTTGCTCTAAAGCGATGAAAGCCCCGATAATCATTAGAGATTAGAGGCTCAAGGAAAAGGATACTAGTATTGGTGGTGCCTGGTATGTGGTATCATCTCGCAATCGAGGTTTTGGTGGGGCAGTACTGGTACCTCCCTTTGGTCTCCCTGCCTAGCCACTAGCTACCGGTAGTGGCCAGCCAGCTTCTCATTCTATCCAGTACCACCGGGATCAGGTCACGTCAATAGTCTCTTGATCTATCGGTAAGGCGGAGGACTGAGGACTGCATAGCTACAGCTACCGTAACGCAGTGGTTATAAACATGAGATATCGGTAGAGCATGGTTCTATTTGGAGCGTCTGTGAGGGGTAGCTGTCACGCCCACGGCATTGTCTCTGTCAAATATTTTGCACTCTCACCTTTTGCTGCATTTTTTGATAAATAAGAAGTTACAGGCAAATCAAAAGTATCATTCGAGTTCTGGAAGTCTGGCTGGGTTGGAAGCGAAGGTGCTTGGCAGCTAAACCAAAAACCAAGCCACTGTTCTTCTAGCTGGTCTACTAGAGCGGCTTAAAGGTCGGGTACGGAAGCGTCGGCAACCCGAACCTCATATGCAAGGTGGTTCTGTTTGCTCGTTGGCAGCTTGTCGAGCAGCCGCACGCAAAAGAGGACAACGATCCTGATCCCTATCCTTCCACGCTGCCTGGCGTGGAAACCTGAACCCTCATGGGTTCTTCGACGAATGACTCTGTCAGAAAGGTATTTTCGTATGACGGACAGACGACTCGGGATCCACAATCACGGTTCGTGATTGGGGATGTGTGACTCAAATCAGATGGTTATCCGATCATCATCAGATGGCCAGGTGTATGTGCCCGTACCTGTAGTGTTTTCCCAGTTGTCCGGTTGATCTCCGTAGAGTCTTTCATCAGTTCTACTACCCAATACTTCGATAAATGGCCATCATCTTGACTTGTAGAACCTGAACTCTCGATCTCTCCCATCGAAGATGGGATACTGCTCGACGATTGATACCTCTACCTCCGTAGAAATCTTTATTACTTCTCAATTTTTCTGTTTGACAAACCTGGATCCAAGCTCCTCTTCCTGATAGCTATCTTATAAAACGTGTTTAAAAGTGTGAACTGAACCACCAAATCTCTTAATTTAAATCATATCCTTCAGTTTCTAATGTCTTAGTAACTGGCTATCGTTTGTTTTCTCTTTCTCTCTCGTTCAGATTGTGAGCCCTACAACTGAGCTCCGATAGCATACATATACCAGATCTTTCGATCCTCTTTTCTCGCAGTTTCATCTAGATAGATCTCGTCGATCTATCTTCCTGAAGTGCATGGTTGGCCCTGGAGGCTTTCCCACTTTACTAAACCTATGGACCTTCATCCGTCCATTCATTTGCTCCATCCCGTCCTCCTTGCATTCATCTCTTCGACCTAACTTCCTAACCTTTGTAGTTGCATCATCTAGACGACAATTGTCCTCGTTCCTCGTAA